ACTGGCGTGATCTCTCCCTACCCACCATCCCAAATCAAGGGACAGTTAAAAAGCAGCTGTTCTGATGATCTAAGAGGCCCTGAGGTATTATAGAGGCAGAAAAGCTCTGAAATGTTGGCTTTACCGACAAACAAAAGACACTTGAAATCAGTCCTGTATTTAACTGGCAACCTGTGCAGAGATAAAAGTAGATGCAATGCTTCCCATTTTCCATATCAGGTAAAAGTCTTGCAGCAGCTGCAGATGAGACAGTGAGGACTGGCCAATACCCTGGTACAATGAGTTTCACTCATCTAACCTCAAGGAAATTAGTGCAGTCATTACAGTCCCAACACAGAACACAACTTTTATGGTCATATAAACGAATGTACTTCTATGGAAACATCACACAACTGGTGAACAGTAGACAGGACTCGAAAATATCTTCTGTGTTATTAGATACATAAATCATAAAAAAGAGAAAACAGAAGTTGATTTTCTTTGACTATTATTATTATATATTTAAAAAAAAAAACTGTGATCTACATGCACAGCATTTTTCCAGGTGCCCACATGTGTTCTGCTGAAAACAGTGGATCTACATACTATTGACATTTTGCAAATAACTGTTTGTCACAGCCACTAGTGATTTCCCAGTAGTGCCTACAAACGCAGAGTTGTTTTATTTTATTTATTTATTTTTGAAAATCTTGTCAAATCTACCCAACAACCCCCCCAAAAACAGTGTACACAGAATGGGCAACAGGTTTTAAGCTTTGGAAATCCAACCCCGCCTTAAAGACTTTGGCGCCTGTAGCGAAGCCGAAAAGAAACTCAGTAGAACGAGAGACAGAAGTATTTGCTGCCTGTGATGTAACCAGACCACAAAGTGGAGGCACATTCAGACACATTCCTGCCTACAATTGGCACCTGGATTACAGCTATCGGCTCAGTGCTAATTAGTGTGAAGGCGACGATACGGTTTTACTCTGTCTCCACTTTTCAAGGGGAAACTTCCAGGCTAGTGTGGTGATTATCACCAGCGTTGTTTTCTCAAGGCAGTTTTGTAAAGAACAGACTCCCACCATGCACATACAATGCTCGTATTTATACATGCAGCACAGGACAGCTACTTTGATATTAGCTGATAAATGCATTCGTGATTTTGCACTTTTCCTATAAGCTCCAGGACATCTTAAAAAACCTGTTTGATCATTTATATTGTAAAGATTGCTTTTAGTTGTTGTGTTTAGGTCATTTTATACAGCTTAAGGTTACCTTTTGCTGTTATTTCAATCCATTTTTTAGTCTTTTTTAGTGGCTAAATCTGATGATAACACAGCACATTTATCAGTGTTGCATCAACACAATACAGGCCTTTGTGTATCCACATGAGGTTCGGCACAATACAAACAGACTATCCTGTAAAATGACCAAGATTTTTGCAATAAAATCAAAACTGTGAGAAAATCCCATAAAAATTAATTTAACTGTATTGTATTGAATCAAGTATGCAATAAAAGACCTGGAATGAAGAAGGAGAAACTTGTGCAGAATCAATGATATAATCAGAACATGGACAGCACGACTGTAGTGGCATGCTGCCTTTAATCTAGGATTAAAGTTGATTGAGGGCAGACATGAGCAATACCATCTTAAAGAATCGTGCACGTGGACCCTGGTTCACTTGAACATGTGACCCCACAGCAGCTGGGCAGCACATTTAAATGTCCAAGTGACATCTGTGCCCTCTAGAGGTCATCAGTTTTCACAATATGTTAAATAATAAACAGGGATTTCTAAAAATTCATCATCAGCCATTTCCGCTGCATTTTTTTTGTGTTTCTGGCAAAATATGAAAAAAAAAAAAAAAAACATTAATACCAAAGATTTATTTCAAACTTTTTTGTTAAACTGGCATCATGTAGATGGGATGGGGGTCTTGGGTTGGGGTTGTTACTTGTCAATCACATGTAGGTGATGCATCCTTGTTTGGAGGACAGGTTAAGATTATTAAGCATTAAAATTTTTTGCGTTCGATTAATCTAATAAATAAAAGTTACATGTATTTTGTTACTTTTGTTTTGGATTTTGAAACACTTTATTATATATATTTTTTAAAGTCATCAAAAAAAAAATAATGCAGATAATATATTAATTGTGCTTTTCTGAGGATGAAATTGCCCCATTATCAAAAAAGAAACAGACAGCCCTCATTCTAGTTTTTAATTTAAAAAAAGAAAAAGAAAAAGGTTCTCCTTTGACTTTGTTTTCTGTCATTATCAGAATCAGAATCAGAAAAAGCTTTATTGCCAATGAGCTTGTACACACAAGGAATTTTCCTTGGTTATGTGAAACACACGATACTCACAAAGGGTTAGTAAAACAACAAGACAGCAACAGAGTTAGTAAGTAATAAATATAAAATCTTAATCTAAAGTCCTACGGTTTTATAAAAATAGCTTTAGCCATAAAAAACAAAACAAACAAACAAACAGAAAACAGTGACATTATATTTACATAAAAAATAAGATAAATTGCAGTGCTAAAAGAATTGCACATAGAATAAACTATTAATTGCACATGAGTCCGTTGTTTCAGAACAGGTGATTTGTAGAAGCTCATCTGTTAGAGATGTAATCACTCAACAACTTTTTTTTTCTTAGACACTGTAGCAACTTGCTAATCAAGATGAACTCATTTTGTACCAAAAGAAACAGCGTTAGATGTGTTTTCGGGAAGTGTTTCGGTGGTGTCGTGGTGTGATGGAGCATTCACAGGGAGCCTGGTTAAACTTTTACCTGCCTGGTTAATTAGTCAGTGTTTCATTAGTGCTAGGAAGGATGTGAAGTGGAATCACACAGAAACAGCTCACTGCACACCCGAGCGCTTTCACACATGCACATCAAACACCGTTGCACGTCCGACACCTTCAGCACAGGTCTCCTGACATGGCGGAGACACATGGACTCGTGGTTATGCTGCTCATTTTCTGGGAACAACTGTTGACGACAAGCTCAAAAGGTAAACTTATGCTCAACATCTGTTTCTACAGGTTACATGCAAGTACTTTAGTCTGAGTGAAGGGGATTAAATAGATGATTTTAATGAGTTACTGCTGTCTGTAATCTATTATGCAAGTAAGAACTAAACCATTCAGCTATTCATGGTCAGGTAATCTAAAGTTTGCAAAACAAAATTTTAAAAAAAGGGCAAAAGATTAGAGATGATGAGATTATATTTCTCATGCAAGCAAACTTTCCTTTACGAATTGTTGTCGTGAGCTGATGGTCAGGTTTTAAACCATCAAAAAAATGTTGATGCTCACAAACAAAGGAGTGTGTTTTTAGACTCAGCGAGAAAACAGAATCTTGACATCACATATATACTTTAACCCTATTCAGGACTTTCATGTTGCCATAAAGGTCTTTCAGTGTCCATCGGACCCCAAGAAAGAATATGTGCAAAATATTTGTTATTATTTGTAATTGTG